TTTATTATTTGTTTATTTATATTATTTTAATTATTAACTACTTTTTTTTTTTTTATTTAAGATAAAATTATACCTTTAGTCTTTATTAGTATGTATAGTTTGTATAACTTTTTACATTATATATTATCTATTACTTTATATAATTATATTAAATTTGAAACTCCAAAAAAAACTCTTTTTACTGATCACTTGTACACAAACTGTAAAAAAGCAATTTAGAAGTTTACTACAAAACAACTGTCTAAACCAACTTTACAGCTCTAGAAAAAAAGATAGAGCTTACAGAAAAGGTATAACAAGGGCTAGAAAGAGAAAGCTTAGATAACTGGCTAAAAAGATAGAATAGAAAATATCCTTGTTATCACTACAAATAACAGAACTAGGGAAATTCACTGCAACTTGAAAATGCAGATCTGTAGATTACTACAACACATGAATAAAACAACAAAACAAACACATAAATTAGCTAACGTGCAAACAAATCTAATTTGAATAGTGATAGACACAAGACATAGAAAATTCCAGAACAACAAGTAATAAACAGAAATCACTAATAGTCAGATAAAAATGAGTAGTACACAGAATTAGAAAGAAAGTCTAATGTTAATTTATATCAAGAGAGCATATTGGGCAGCAAACAATATACACAACAAAGTTTTTTTTAACCAAGTGAGCAAAACCATTGCAACACCAGACAGAGAAGATGAAATCATTGCTATGCTAACAGAACAGGTTCTAATAGAGGTTGCACTGCTTCATATAACTAGAGAGATAATCAAAAAAGCAGAAGAAGAGCAACTAGAAAAAAAAATTAACATCAACAAACAAAGCAAAAATATCATTATAATTGAAGAACCAGCAACAAAGCAGTCACAAAACAAAGAGAAGAAAACACACTGACAGTCAAATGAAGCAAACAGAGATCAGAAAAAATTATACAAAACAACACAAAAAAAGAAGATAGAAAATGAAGAAATCATTGAAAAAGAAACACATGATAATACAGAAAGCTCTTAAAAAGAGGTAAGTATAGAGGTAGATATAACAAACAAGAACCAAGGCAAAGAGAATCTACCCACCCAGAGAGAAAATGTAGAAGAACAGAAAGAAGAACAAAAACAAGAAAGCATTGGAAAAAGAATTGAAAAAGAAATTAACATAATCGAAAAACCCTTAGAAGAAAGCATATGGGCTCCAAACAAAAGAAACTGCAACTAAAATAACAGTTTACTTGCTAATATACCAGCACACAATGTACCTGGTAAAATGAAAGAAAATCATATGAAATTTATCAGATAGTCTTTAAGAAACAACATGTATATTAAAGACATCAGAGAAACCTTTAAAAGAGGAAACTTATAGATAGAAGTAGACTTTGACTGTAATTATGAAAGAAATAAAGCAATAAAAAGAATCAGCAAAAAGAAGAGTGATTGGTATAAAATGATATCAGAAGAAAAAGATGAAAAAGATAGAAGAAAGCAAACACAAGATAACGAGAGATATCAGAAGACACAAAATAGTGAAGCAAGAATTCAGAAAGAAGAATATGAGTAGAAGGAGAATGAAATCAAGATAGAAGGAAATCAATACAGAATAAGCAAAAAATCAGAGAACATGAGCTATATAATAATTTGGAACCTCCCAACAGGCATAAACAAGAAAGAGTTGAGTATATTTGCAGAAGATTTAGAAAAGCCCATATAGTAAGAATCAAAAGGTTAAAATACAAGGCCTTAGCATTTATACAAATAGAGAAAACACATGAGGAGGTGCCATGAGCTATATCAGTAAATAACAACAAACTAGTACGAGTAACTAAAAGAATAGAAGAATACAAAACAAGAGAAAAACAAAGAAGATATATAGCAAAACTGACAGGACTATTAGGAAGTGCTATAGAAATCTTACTGCTATGTAGTCTAAAAAACAAGGGAGTTAAATCAGTCCACATACCTTCAAATAGAAATAGAAACCAAAAAAGGACTGCAACAGTCATGTTTGCAACAGAAGAAGATATAAAATTAGCTCAATCTAAACCATTTATGTTTAACAACTTCTGACTTTACTGGGTAAAAGAAGAAAAAGAAGAAACAAAATGAAAAGAAAGTTTTAAACAAGAAAGAGAAAGAAGCTAGAAAAGGTACAGCCAAGTCTCTGTGGCAGACGAGAACAACATCAGAAGAGAAGAGCAAGAATTTAGATTAAATACAAACAAGGAAAGAAAAGAACATAGTCAAAGAGTAGAATATTAAATAATAACAAACAGAAGTTATATACAAGATCAAATGGCAGAAAAAGAAATAAGATATACAAACTTATTCAAAGAAGAAAATAGACTATATAAAAAGAAATCTGCCAAAACTGACATCCCAATACAAGAAGAACTCCAATACACAAGTAACATCCTAAATCAAATTCTGGAAAGACTTGAAAGATTAGAAGGTGCAAGCAGTACAATAGGGGGCAGTCTGGCCTACTGTTCCTAAAGGTGCCACAGTTGAACCAATGAATATAGACCAGAAGATCGAAGAGTTTCTATATAGTGAAAGGAAAGCCTTCGAAAGAAGTAACATGGAATCATCTTCTGATTATAAGAGGAAAACAAAGACAAAAGAAAAAGAGAAGGCATTAGATACAAAAACACAATGTAAATATCTGAAAGACAAATAGAAACAGAGAAAGAAAGAAATTAAGATTGCATGTCACAACATTAATAGGTTTAAAACCAGAGATTGGAAATTGGAAAATCTTATAGAATGGGCAAATAAAAAAGAACTTACAATAGTAGAGATAACAGAAATGAATATTATAGAAAAAGAAGAAAAATTTTTATTATATAATCACAATATGCAGTACAAGAGTTATTGGACTAGTGCAGCAACAGACAAGAAAAAAGGATCAGGCATAGAAATACTAATAGATAGCAAATGGAAAAAGCATGTGAGGGTAGTTAAAAGAACTAGTGAATACTTGCTAGAAGTAAGATTATATTTTAAACAATTAGAACTAGTAGTATTAGGAGTTTATATCCCACCAAACAACAAATCAATAAGTAAGAAAATTCAGCAAAGAATTGTAAAGATAGTAACAAACAAGAAGAGATGTACAGATATAGTTATACTAGGTGATTTCAATCACATAGTAGATAACATACTAGATAGACAATACCCACAAACAGCAAGCTACAAAAGACTTCCAATATTTAGCTAGATCAAAAGACAGGACTTTGTAGACTCATTTCGAAACATACACTTGACAAAAGAAGGATATACATGGTCAAACCAAGAGGCTGAAACAAGAATAGATTATACTTGGCTATCAGAAACACTTGCATTAGGCTTACAAAAGGCGAATATAGAAGAAGCAGAAGGTCTAACAAATAGCGATTACAAAATAATAACAGTTGAAGTATAGGTAGAACATGTAATCGCAAAACACAGCAAGGCAGAAACCAAATGCAAAAACCAAACAAGAACGATATACTTATATGACAAAACAAAACAAGAAGACTGGGAAGAGTATGCAAGAGAGCTACAGAATCAGCTAGAATGGATAAAAGCATTAAGACAATTAAAAGATAATGAAGCAGAGATAGATTGTAGTACAGACAAGCTAAATCAAATGTAAGATGCAATAGAAGAGGCTATAATCGAAGCAACAAACAAACAGATTCCAAAAAAGAAGATATTTAACACAAAAATAAATAGAAGACAAGACCAAAAAAAGGCTAAACAAAGCAAACATATTATCAAACTTCAACAAATAATTAGAAGGACAAAAAATATAAAGAATCAAAATGTAGGAAAAGAAGAAAGAATTGAAATGAACAGTAAACTAAAAAATATAGAAAAAGAGTTAGGAGTAATATTACCAAAACTCAATAGACAATAGTCAGAAGCTTGGATAGATAACATCAAAGGTTGGCAAAGAATAATCAAAAAGATGAAAAGAGAGAAATAGGAACAAACACAGAGAAAACAAATAGAAGAGAATATAAACAAAAGATGTGAAATGATTAAAACTGATCAAGAATAAATGATTTGAAGCCTATTAAACAGACCATACAAGAAGATTATTCTAGACAGGTTCATAATGCAAAATAAAGAAGAAGTCAACCTAATATCACAGCCAGACATGGTTTTGAATTAGGGTTCTGCAAATAGACATGCCGGGCACAATTGGCACTATGCCAGGCACTGTGGGCACTATGCCAGGCAAAATACTAGTGCACAAATGCCTACCATAATTTTTGTTATGCCTGAACAGTGCCAGTGCTTGTATTATAATATATTTAATTAGCTAATTTAGATCGATCTGAGTACATATTCATGACACTTTACACTTTACTATTTATTTTAAACCTTAATCTTATTCTTTTTTTTTCTTTACTAGAATATACTATCTTTTATCTAATTATTAATATATCATATTTGTCTATCTATATAACCAAGCCATTTAACAAAAATTTGAAACTTATATTAAAATTATATCAATTTCATAATTTTATTTTGCTATTTCTAATTTGTTTTTATATATAATAAGTTATAAAAATCGAATGCTATAATATTGCTTAAATTGATAATAATAAAATTGAATTTATTGTTGGTCTCTGAATTAGTCTTTCTAATTATTACATAAAAATTATATAATTGCCTTTATTAAGTTATATCTCATTCATCATATTGGCCTGTGCTAGTTACATAATTTCTATTACAAAATTAAGATGGGTGACTTAAAGAAAAAATCAGATATCGGGCTTTTATTATATTATTTATTAGTAAGCAATAAATAATAAACTTAAATGCCCGATATTCAATTTTCTCTTGCGTCATTTATGTAAAAGAAAGAATATTGTAATTAACAATAAATTATTTTTCAAAATTTTATGCCGAAAGTCAATAGTATTACATATTATATTAAATTTTTTTCAAATAAAAGGACATACTTGTTCTTTATATTTTTATACTTATCTTTATACTCCAACTTGTGTTTCATTAATGGAAGATTTAACATCAACCTATCTGGATAATTCTACTTCAAGTAACTCATTAGGCGATAATATAACAGAATCAAGTACCAATACTGAATATATTACATCAAAATATTGGGATAAAGTATTGCATGAAGATAAACTTGTTCGTCAATGCAAGAATTGCAAGAAGCAGCAATTTTCAATTAATACAAGCAAATTACATTTAAAAAAACATACTGCTAAATGTACAACTCAAAATATAAAATTTAACTTCATTAAACCCATTACAAAAGAGGATGTAGATAATTCTATAATTGATCTAGTTGTTGGTACTGGAATTTCTTTTAATATTCTAAATAATCCATTATTTCATAGAATGGTAAATAAGCTTCATTATGTAACTGATACGTATAAAGTTCCTCATCCAACAACAATATCCTGTCACCTTTCAGGAAGCATTTATGAAATTAGATTTAATTTTATTAAAGATGTTATGGCAAAAATGCCAGGTCGAATTTCATTAACATGTGATGGCTGGCATTCAACAGTCCATCGATGTCACTATACAGCTGTTACAGGTTCTTGGATAAGTGATAACTGGAATATTATTAATATCTTACTAAGTTTTTAAAAATCTGGTCAGATAGCGAAAGATATTAAATCAGTAATAATCGATACTTTAAATAATTATAATATTAAAGATAAGTTTTTTTCAATTACCATGGATAACACAACAACGAATAAAGCAGTTGTTCGGATACTTCAAAAAGAGTTACCTAATATAGATCTTATATCTATTAGATGTATATGTCACATACTTAATCTTATTGTAAGTGCAGGAATGATGGAAATTAATATACTTCGGCAAAAAGTTCATAAAATTATGAAGTATTTAGCAAATCCACTAGCTAATGGGCGTATTGAATTGCTAGAGTCATATTGTAAAGTTGTTGGAATAGATTTTTTATGACCAATTTTAGAGATTGAAACTCGTTGGAACTCAGTTTTAGATATGTTTGAAAGATATATTATATTACATCCAGCAATTAAAGAAATGCAATTAAAAGAAACATTAATGCCATCTTGTTTGGAAATGAACGAATTATTGAAACTAGAATTAACTTGTAAAATTCTTAAACCATTTGCAATTGCAACGACAATTCTTTCAAAAGATCGGTCGAATTCGATTTCAGATGCACTAATAATAATACTAGAAATTGAACAGCATATTAATAATATTAAATATAATAGCAATGCTATAAATTTAATGAAAAAA